GGCTCCTCCTACTCAACCTGTCATTACCCCCAAATTTGGGCTCGGATCTTACTCAACAGATTCTTTTGAAATTACCTTTGGGAAACCTCCATATCACTGCAAATGCCCTTTTCTTACCAATCTTTCCAAAAGGCCTTAGGGTTTGATCTCTCGGAACTCAGGATATTTGCTCTCTTTGTGAAAGACTTCTAAAGATAAAATTTAAATTAAGACTTTAAGCGAAGTCAGGACCTTTTGCACGTAGTCCCAAAAACAATGAGCTAGATAAGGAGATAAATCTTATCTTCTTCCTGAAACTGGCTAATGGGCAACCTTTACAAACATTCAAACTATTTCATTCAATATGACAGGTCTCACTAGGGGGAATGCCTTGCTGGACCTGGTATTGGCAACGGGGGATGACATGGTAGGAGACCTACAGATTGGTGGTCACCTGGGGGACAGCGATCACCAAATAATAGAATTCATCATAAGATGTCGAGTGGGTAAGGTAACTAGTAGGGTGAAAGTGCTAGACTTTAGGAAAGCTGATTTCAATGAACTCAGGCGTTTAGTCAAGGATGCACTGCAGAGTAGGAGTTTTGAAGAGATGGGAGCCCAGGAAGGGTGGCTGTGCCTTAAGGAAATGATCCTTCAGGCACAGAGGGAGACAATCCCGATGCGGGGGAAAAGGGGCCAAGAGGCTTCCTTGGCTGACCAGAGAAACCCAGAGCAGCCTACAGACAAAAAGCGGGGCATATAAAAAGTGGAAATGGGGAAAGACTACTAAAGAGGAGAAGGTTGAGAGGCGACCTTGTGGCTGCCTATAAGTTCATCATGGGGGCACAGAAGGGAATTGGTGAGACTTTACTCACCAAGGCGCCCCTGGGGGTTACAAGAAATAATGGCCACAAGCTAGCAGAGAGCAGATTTAGACTAGACATTAGGAAGAACTTCTTCACGGTTCGAGTGGCCAAGGTCTGGAATGGGCTCCCAAGGGAGGTGGTGCTCTCCCCTACCCTGGGGGTCTTCAAGAGGAGGTTAGATAACCATCTAGTCTTTCCTGCCTATGCAGGGGGTCGGACTCAATGATCTATTGAGGTCCCTTCCGACCCTAACATCTATGAATCTATGAATCTGTCTCTCTGGAGGAGTGTTCTTGTTGGGTGAAAGCCTTTTTAAGATTGGTGAGGTGGCGATCCCGGATGTTCTCTTCAGTGCAAATTTGGTGGTATCTGAGGGCTTGGCTGTATATCACAGCTTTTTTGGTGTGTTTAGAGTGATTCCTGGTTCTGTGCAGATATGGATGCTGGTCTGTGGGTTTCTTGTATAATGTGGTCTGTATTTTATCATTCTGGATACTGATTTGGGATATGTACAGTTCCAACAAGAATCTTTCTCTTTCTTCCCTTTAAACTTGTTTGCATTCCCCTTGTCCATATACCATGAAGAAACAAAGTTTGTTATTTTGAAAGAAACGGGAATTAAGACAATGAAGACCCTTTAAGACAAGAGTTTCTGAATATTAAGTTAAGACACAGATATTGGCACTCATGGCTCCCAGCATTTAGAAAATAATCCTCCTTATAAGAGGGCAGCCTTCTGAATACAAATGAAATCTGTAGCCTTCTTGGTGGTCTTGACACTGGTATCATCTTTTTCAATCTGGCACTTTCAGGTCCAGTGACACTGCAGAAATGGCGGAGTATGGAATCTCAGTGGGTCAGCGTGTGGCAGTGGTCTGGGATCGCTCTGCACGGGTTGAAGCACTGAAGGACCTGGTGGACAAGATTCATATGCTAGTAGGAGCTGGCAGTCGTGTGTCTGTGGAAAATATTGACCAACTGTCCTACTGTAAGAACAGGGATTTAATATTTACCAGATTTTACTTTAAGGGCAATATTATGTTATATGGCTGCTACTGCTGTGTGTAACCCAGCTGACATTGGATTCCAAACTGTGGTACGCGTACCACCAGTGGTACACAGGCAACCTGTCTGTGGTATGCATTAACAGCTTTATTATAATTACTTTATATGACAAAAGTTTGCTGGTGGTACTTAAGGTTGAACTGAAAAATTTGCTGGCGATACTTAAGGTGGTATTGTTTTAAATTGGTGGTGTGCAATCTGTCAGAGTTTGGGAACCACTAGCATTATCCATGAGTAGTAACCAGGGACATCTATCTTCAGATAGGATGTTAGAATCTGGATTTTTCTTCTCCTATGTACTGCAAGAAGAAGAGCAGTTTCACCATAGTTATCCATGTTTCCACACTTGCGATGACTGTTGGTTGCTACACTAATACTGTTGCATGGAAGCAGAAATGATAAGAGAGGGGAAGGCAATTAGAAAAGTGTATTTTTACTTATTCATCTTTCTTTTCAGCTTCTCACACTGAGTCCAGTTTTGATGTGGTCCTCTCGGGCATGGTGCCAGGCAGTACAACACTGCACAGTGCAGAGGTACTGGCAGAAATAGCTCGAATACTCAAGCCAGGCGGTTGTGTCCTTCTGAAAGAACCAGTGTTTGCAGAAACAGGTAAGGGAGTCTGCCATTGTTCTGACTCTTGAATATGAGGCAACTAAAGAAAACTTGCATAGAGGATTAGCCTGAAGGAAAAGCGTTTCTACTCTGGTGATTATATTAACATGACCATCAGAATATGATATTGTGTCTAAGCTGACAGCTACCATGTTAGAATCCCTGCTGATCTTCTTGTGTTCAAGATAGACTTACAAATATAGTGGAAACTGTAAGAGTACTTGTGTGCACAGAGCTGATGCTGGATTTCATAGTATACAGCAAATGCTGAGGTTGGCCATTGAATTCCACAAACTGTAATAGCCAAAGTTATCCAGAAGAGATCTAAGTTGCTTGGAATTTGTGCTGAGAATAAGGGCAGAGCACATGCCAAGGCAAGTATTGAAGAGCATGCAGGAGGGGCTGCCTAAAAGGATATCTGCTGACTGCAGCTTTCAGAGGGAAAACATGGGTCTTAAAGGGCATGCAAAGAATAGCCAGGGCAGACAGAAATGAGCGTGTCTTATTTGTGCTTGAGGACATCTGACAGCATGAGAAAGATGCAGAATAACAGTAAGACATGGAAGGGAGGAGCAAAAGGTGCATCTTGTACCAGTCAATTCATAAAACACACCACCTTAATGTATTATTAGGCAATGTCACCTACCGCAAAGGAACTGTGCATCATACATTTTAATTGACAATTACTTTAAATCTGGTGCTTTCTGGAATGAGATCTTAGCAGGTTTGAAATTCAGAAAGAAATATCTTTTCTGAGCATTTTTATGAGCCTGTTAAAATAGAAATTTTCCCTTTATTTAAAGTATGATGAGGTGACTTTTCTTGGATACTGTGAAGTTCTTTGTGATTGCAGTGTATTTATACAAAGCATAATTTGGAATTAAATAATGGCGTTGGAGCATAGAGCTTGTTCTAATGAATGGACTGCTGACTTCCTTTCCTATTGTGCCAGGGGAGGGTGGGAACGTAGAGAAACAGCTTGGCTGGAGTGCTTCCTTCTAAAGCACTAACAGTGTCACGTTCCAAGCATCTTATCTAGTTTTTAATGACGAGGTTTGTTATCTTTGTTTTCGTTTCCCTCCTCATTGCTCATACCCTGTCTTATGCCTCCCAGGTAACAACAACAGAATCAAGACAGCAGCCAAGCTCCCCACTGTACTTATGCTCTCTGGACTGGTGGAAGTGAAGGAGGTAAGTGTGTACATGCCACCCCCTCTACACAAAAACTCTTGTTGTGGAATTACTGTAGAATGTGGAGTGGAAGTTCCCCATAGGCAGAGGGGAAGAAAATATGATTGGGGGGTGCTGAGTGCACACACAGTGTGCGCATGCATCCCCCCCCCCCCCCCCCCCCCCCCGCCGGCGCGATCGGGGGGGGGGGGGGGGGGTGGGGAAGTGGGGCAGATTGAGGCCCCTGTGGTGAGGGAGGGAGTGGCACAGAGATGGGAGCAAGGGCTGGGATGAATGGGGCCCCAGGGTGGGTTGTGGGACGCTTGGAGCCCAGGTGGCTTGTCCAGGGTCGGGGAGCAGGGCTCTCACTGCTGCGCACCATTATCCCTGGCCTTCTGCTGCCTATGAAGTTCCCACTACCCCTATTGTTAGTTGCTAGCTGTAGCTACCCAGCCATTTGGCTTGCTGAAAAATACAGGGAGACACAATTAGCACGACAGCTGCTTATATTACTGCAGGATAGCATTTTTTCAAAATTAGAAGATACTTGCGTTTTGTTTTGTTTTTTAATGAATGTCAGTGTATTATAATGTTTCTAGCTGTGCAACAGCCAGAGGCATCACCCCACTTTTCACGAGATTTGAGACTAAGTCTATTGGAAGTGCAATGCAGTTGTATATGAGGGAGAGAAACCCTTAGCTCAGTGATTCTCAGAGTGCCACACAATGTTAGCACTACTAGGTGTGCAAACACCTATCCATGATTCACAAGATAAACCCAGAGATTTCAAATAGGAATCCAAAGTATTAACATTCTGAATAGCTGTAGTCTGAGTTCTTTGCAACAGAAAAAAATGCTTTCTCGTTTTTCTGTAGTCAAGAAACCAGTGGAAACTAAGAGCTGACATTTTCTGAGGGATGCCTTGGGTGTAACTAGGTTGAGAACTGCTGCCTCAACTGCTTAGCATGATCCTATATAAGACATTGGAATAAGATATTTTTGCACAGGGTGAACACTTGCTATGCTTTCCATTCTAGCTTCAGAAGGAGCCTTTGACCTCTGAGGAAGCCCAGTCAGTCCAGGAACATCTCGGCTACCAGGGCAATGACCTTGTCATTGTTCAAATGAAAGGCAAAAAACCCAACTTTGAAGTGGGATCTTCCAGTCAGCTCAAACTTTCCTTTGCCAGGAAGTCCACTTTAGGAGGTAAGGGAGGAGACGCATTCTAGGGGGCATGAACTGCTGATGTTGTGCAGTGGAGGACAAAGTAAAGTTGGAAAGGGAGGCTTGATGAAGGGAAGCTCAAGGAAAAACCTGTCCTCTGAGTTAACAGTTTTGTATCTTCTGGAAGCTACCATTTCCATTGTAAAGGGGAACTGTAAAGCAGTGATCATGGCAGAGAGAACCCTGGGCTGTTTCCTTTGGCTTCATCATGCATACTGACAACTCCTGAAAGTTTTTTGGGGTTTTTTGGTTTTTGGGGGTTTTTTTTCACATCAGAAATATTGGGACTATGAACAAAATGTTTCTGTAGAGTGGCCTGCCCAAAGTCTTTAGAAATCATGAAGGATAACTGGGTTGATAACAGTTAGCATTTGGACTGAGAGCTGGTAACTACTTCATTGCCTTTCAAACAAAACAATAAGCATAGAATGTGCTATGAAGAGATGCAGCCTTCTGTGAAGGACATCTCATCTTGGTATAAAAATGGGTGGACATTGGAAGAGAATTGTGGCTTATTTTTTTTCATAATTGATTCAAGATAAAAGATAAATGAAAAGGATTCCTTGAAGTGGTTTTTAAAGACTGAATCGAGAAAGAGATGGTGGCCAACTGTACTGGGACTAGGCAGCAGTACAGTAAAAATTATATGATGCCAGAAGGAGTGTGTTTGTTCAAGTCTTTTGGATAATATCTGCAGGATGCAGGTAGTCATTTTTTTTTTTGGCTCCAGGAAAGCCCATTGTGGACCCCAGTACTGCAAAGCTGTGGACTCTCTCTGCCAATGACATGAATGATGAAGGAATGGTAAGTTGTGTTTCTGTGTACTAAGGTTATAAGCTTCACCTGCACTATTTGGCAAGACTTTACAGTACAAAAGTGGGGTGTGACCCCATATAGTAAAGTTTCTCTGGTATTTCAGGGAAGGTAATTTTAATTCAGGGGATGGTAGTTATTTGGGCCTACAGGCCACATACGAAGTTCTGCTGAGCTGTTGCTGGCTGGGTTGGCACCTCCCCCCACCCCCTCCATCCCCACGCAACAACTCACAAAAACTTCCTATATGGGATGGGACCGTGGGTGGGGAGCGACATTCAGAAGTAGGTCAGGATCATGGGGCAGGGGCGTGGTGTGGTGACAATGTAGGGGCAGGATTGCGGGGCAGTGAGGCCAGGGCCCAGGGCAGAGCCATGATCCACTGCCCGCATGCCTCTGCAACAGAAGCCCATGCCTATTCCATGGGCAGGAGCATGTAGGGAGCAGACTGTGGCTCTGGCCTTGGCCCGGCGCTGTGCTGTCACCACCCGAAGATCCCGGACCCTGGTGCAGTTTCCTGCCCTCCCCTGGCCTCATCCCATCTGCCTGCCCACGTTTACACTGGCCAGTCTCCACAGAGACCTTGGGATCAAGGGGCAGTGACAGCACTGGGCTGGGGCTGAGCCACAATGTGGTTCCTGCCTGTCCCTGCCCTCAGAACCAGGCCCTGTCCCCATGCATTTACCACCTCCTGATTCTGGGGTCTCCATGCCAGCTGTTTGGGAACCGTGCAGGCTGGGTACTCGGCCAAGCGGGGGGGGGAGTGGGCTGCATCTGGGGCTGAAGATAGGATCTTGGGATGTTGACAGCACAGGGCTGGGGCAGAGGCAGAGCTGCAATCCACTCCCTGCACCCTCCTGCCCATGGAAACCACACCAGTTACAGGAATGAGAGGGCAGTGGATTGTGACTCTACCCTGGACTCTGTGCTGTCACAACCCCTAAAACTTCGGGTCTTCCCAGCCCCACCTGCCCCTCTTGCTTCTAAATGCTGCTCCCTGCCGGCCCACGGTCCTGTCCCAGCCACCCAGCTGAGCAGCCTGCTTGCATGGATCCCATCCCCAGTGGCAGGTGCAGGGCATAGGGCCCAGGGTGCTCAGGCAGCAGAGCTGGGTCTGGCAGTGGCAGCCAGAAGGAGCCACTGCTGCTGGGGCTGCTGGGAAATGGAGTCTGGAAGCCATGCTGCCCCAGCCCCACTGTGCACCTGGGAGTGGTGGAGCCAACCACATATGCCATGGTCTGGGTTGCCCCTCGCACCTGGGCTTGGTGGGACCGAGGGACCTGTAGTGGGCTGGTATTGGTTTGTGGGCTGTATTTTGCCCACTCCTGCTCTAATTAAATAACTATACCAAGTGATACCACTGTTAGTCAAGGAAACTGCTGTATCGATTGTCTATTTGTCTCCCCCCACCGCCATCATCTTTCACGTTCTCTATTTTTTTAGGATCTCCTAGACTCAGATGATCTGTTGGATTCTGAGGATTTGAAGAAGCCAGATCCAGCTTCCCTAAAAGCTCCATCCTGTAAGGAGTTAGGCAAGAAGAAAGCCTGTAAGAATTGGTGAGTATGAAAACTGGTGTATAAGTGTATCTGGTGACTTCCAATTAACCAGCTGATTTTGCATCTCTTTAAAGTCAGCAGGCATTGTGCTTGTTCTCCAGAAATAATTTGTTTCACTGGTAACCCAGTTCCCTTGTTGTTAAAATGCTGTATTTTTAACTGAGGTCCATATTAAAATACTTAAGAAATATGGCCAAAAATATTCTGACCAAGCAATGTTTTCTTTCTTTAGAACCCTTGATGCCAATGTATGAATTTTCCTTTTAAGTTATTTGGAGGGTTGGCTGTGCTGGAGAGACGGCAGTGTTGTAACTAAATTGATTTTATAATTTGCCAAATTAACTTTTAAGCAAGATGTAAGCGATTAAATAACTGCATGTCACTGTTACAGATTTAATGCAGCATTTTGTTTAAACTTTAGAATTGCTTTCCTTTTTATCAGTGCTATGCCTCAAAGGTTGCAAGGCCTAAATATTTTCACTGTGAGGTGGGGGTAATCTTTCTCCTTCCAGTGCACAGCCCATTTGGGAGTAGCCACAGGACTGACACACTATTCTAAAAATCGTGGTTGTACTTTTATGGGGAGGGACATTGAGGGAAGTGGGATGTTGTCCCGTGCACTGTGGTATTAGTAAGAATGAAAGGGAAGAAAATGTATGTGACTTAATCTGTTGAGTGAAATGATATGGTGGGGGACCATACTTGCATGTGTGTATTGATGTAGAGGCTAAAGTTGCAATGCTGGAAAATATTATGGGCTCATGGATGTGTCATGTTCCTTCTGCAGCACATGTGGCTTTGCAGAAGAGCTGGAGCAGGAAAAGAAGAGCTTTCAACCCAAATCAGCTTGCGGAAATGTAAATATCTTCCCTGCATTTAGTGGCTTGGAGAGACAGGGAGGGATCATATGTTGTATGAGCTACTTTAGAAAGTAACTGCTCCCCAAGCGCTAGATCAGTTGACGCTTCTAAACAGCATGTCTTGGCCCAGGAGCAGTCATGCCATCTCTGCAGAACGGTTCAACTGTATCATAATTCAAACCCACTGGGGCCAATCAGTTTCATAGTAGCTAGGGTCAGGAGGGACCTGAACAAATCATCTAGCCTGAGCCCCTGCCACAGGCAGGAATGAATGCTGGGTTCACAAGACCCCAGACAGGTGATCGTCCAACCTCCTCTTGAATTTGCCCAAGGTAGGGGCGAGGACCACTTCCCTGGGAAGTTGGTTCCAGATTCTGGCCACCCTAACTGTAAAATATTGCCTTCTGATCTCTAACCTAAACCTGTTCTCCATCAGCTTATTACCATTGTTCCTTGTCACCCCAGGTGGTGCTGGGGAGAAAAGGGCTCTACCTATTTGCTGTTGATCTCCTCTGATGAGCTTGTAGGCAGCCACCAGGTCCCCCCTCAGCCTCCTCTTGCTGAGGCTGAACAGGTTCAGGTCCCTCAGTCTCCTCGTAGGGCCTGTCCTGCTGCCCTCTCACCAAGCGGGTGGCCCTCCTCTGCCTCTCCTGGCTGGCCACATCCTTTTTGAAGTGCGGTGCCCAGCCCAAATTTCACTTGCATTTGCCTCAAACCTTTACTCTACAGTCACTCCCTGATCTAGAGCCAAGGTGCCAGTTGCGATGCGCACACCTGTCTAGAAAGAACTAGACTGAAATCTGCAAAATCCAATTTATAATGATTTTTATTCATTACACACTTGCTCTGGATTTAAACCAGTGACCTCCTCAGTATTTTCCACAAAGTCGTCTGTCCCCAAAGCCACCTGTGTTTCAAGTAAAACATGAGTTTACATATAGTTTGAAGAAACCAGGAGCCCCAGGGGATGTATGTTTCTAACTGGTAGCCTTTAGCATTAATCTGGAAACACTGCCCTCTTGTGGGATCGCAGGGGACACTTTACTTAGTTTGTACAGTGCTGGGTCCCTTCACACTACACCACTGGTCCTGACCCTGGTCCTGACTGGAACAGACCCTGGTCCTGACCTGATGAGACTTGCATGCTTGCTGGAAGTTGCAAGAAGATTCTTTTCATGATTGCTCTATCCTCTGGTGAGCAGAGTGTCGCTCTTAACACATGGGGTAAACTGCTTCCTACTGGGAAAAAAACTGAAATCAGAAAACCCTACCCTGCCTTTTGTTTTTGTCTGATTTTTGTAACAAGCTGATTCTTCTGTTGCTTGTCTTGGCAGTGTTATCTGGGGGATGCATTCCGATGTGCCAGCTGCCCTTACATGGGGATGCCAGCCTTTAAACCTGGAGAGAAAATCCTCCTGAATGAAGACCACCTTCATGATGCCTAATGGGTGGACATTATGGAGTGCAGCTGTTCCATTGCTCGCTGCTTTGGAGCTCCCTTCACCCTATCCCACCTCCTTGAATTCACTCTCTCAGAAATGCTCCCTTATGGGGAAAAGGAGGTGAAGTGGGTCTGAGAAGGGACATAATGGATATAGCTGCCATAGTGCACTAAAAGGGAGTTCACCGGACACTATTAACTTTTGGCATTGGGTAATCTTTAGTGACAATCAGTCTCATGTATGTCTTGTTGTGGGTCTTTTTTTTAAAGCTGTTTTGATGTAGCTCTGAGGTGCTGGCTGGCTTGGTATGTCCCACTAGCAGGAGGGATGTGTACATTTGGATTCTGAAGCCAGGCTAACCTGTTGTAAACATATGTGGTATCCTAGCCAATGCTTCTCCTCACTCTGATTATACCATGGTTTATCATAATTATTCCCAGTATATCAGCAATTCTAGCTTAAGGCTCTCAAGGTGACACCTGTTTCCTGTTGTTTCTGGAAGCTCAAATCCATAGTTCCTTACAGCGTAGGGCTGGGGACATAGAGTAGGAACTGGCAGGGATATCTATGAAACTCCCTGGCAGGGCTTGGGAGATGTGATGAATTTCCAAGTGTCTTGATAACCTGCCAGTGAGATGTTTTCTTTCCCCTGCCCCTTTCTCTTCTGTTTAAAAAAAAAATTTAAAAGCTTCATTTTAAGCAGGTTGAGAATAGTCCCTGCTCATTAGGCAGAGTAGATTATACCCAGTTTCTGCCTTGCTGTTCCCTGTTCCATCCAATATACACTGGAAAATTAGGGCTTAATAGCAGTGCATTTCTTACTGTAGCTCAAGAAAAGATAGAATAAGTTACCCACAGTGTTCAGTAACTGAGACATAGCAATAACTACAGCACTGAGGCATCTTGATGGAAGCTTTTTTGCCAGTTCTCCCTGCCCCCTTGGTAGATGCTGACCTGGCAGCACTTTTTTATTTACAGACCTGTTGCAGAGAGAGGCTTTTGGTGTTAAGTATCTGTCCATCCATCCATGCAGCTGCAAGACAAGGGACCCATTTCCTAGAGTTCCCCTTTGCTTACCAGCTTTATCTGCCCTTCTGGGGTGCAGGGTGGGAATCAGCCTTGTACAGTGGTGTTCAACCTTTTTGTCCATAGCGCCAGATAAGCAGTGCCAAGTCCTTCCACAGGCTGCATCTGGCTGGTAGACCCAGTCCAGTGCCTGAGGCATGCATGGCAGGGCCCCATCCAGCTGCTTCATGGAAGCAGCCCATCCCCAATCCAGCCACGTGGAGAAAGAGTGCTTAGTCTCATTGCAAACCAGCCATACAGGGAAAGGGAGTGTGGCTCAATCCTGCGGGGAGGAGGTGGCATAGCCCAGACCCAACTGGACCACAGGGAGAAGAGAGGATGTAGCCCACCCCAGATCTGACCATGCTGGGGAAGAGTAGTGACCTGATTTTTGACCTGCCTCTCATGGCTTGGGATTTTGGCAGCAGGGGGAGGGGGCAGTATTAACACCTACTGCTTCCCCACCACCAAATTTCCTGACCCATAGGGAACCCTGCAGACCAGAGGTTGGCCACATCTGGCATAGTATACAGAACTGGGTTTATTACTTTAGTGTCACCTCTGTGCAGGGTCCAGCTTCCTGTCATTACTTTGCACTGAGCATGCAACAAGCTCATGTAGCAAAATTAGGATTAAGGGATCTTCTGTTTTTAAAGACTGACCAGTAATAAAGTCATTTGTTAAGAAAACTGGATTCTGTGGTTTTTTAAATGTAGTGGGTTTTTACTCTTCCTCTCAGCTGCTACTTGGGTCTGTTCTATTTTGCAAGAGCTTTTTGTAAGGGATGCTTAGCATCTCTTTCTATCCTTCCTCATAAAGCTATTTAAACCATTTAAAGTTGCATGATATTATTGGAGCAATGAACAGAATCAATATTTCAGCTGGGTTATATTTTTCTCTGATTAAATGTTAATGTCAAAAAGGGGCTGTCTTACAGCAAAACGCACTAGGATCCTTCTTTGTGAGAAGACTTTTCCACTAATTCACTCAGAAGTCCTCTTTTCTGTTCCTGTTGCTCATATTGGGCTCCTATACACATGCTCGGGGGGAGGAACAGGGGGGAGTGTTTTAATTAGAGCAGCTCTTGAGAGCCACTCTAATTAAAATGTCTGTAGCATCTCATGTATTCAGCGTCCTGAATTTCAAAATAGTGGTGGGGCTGCTTTAATGAAAGCTTATTTGAACATTCCAGCAGAGTCAATTGGTTAGTGACATGCTGCAATATCCAGGAATTTTCCAACCTTGGGCAAGTGATTTGATCTCCAGGCCTTCCTTTCTCAGTTTTCATCTACTGTAAACTCTGTGGGGCAGGGCCTGCCTCTACTCTGCATATCTAATGAAATGAGGCAACCTGACAAGGCAAACAGCCAGATGGAAATGGGAAAACAGACAACTCCAACTAGACACCATTTTTTTCAAAGAAGCCAGACCTAGGTGGTTCTCGGAGATGGGATAGGGGTGAAGGGTGGAGAGACAATAAAGGCATGAACGGTGCGTGCCCCTGGCGGCTGGGGGGCATGGCGGTGCTGACGGCGGTGGGAACCCGGTGGTGGTGAGCTCCCACAGATTTTCATAGACATTAGGGCTGGAAGGGACCTCGGAAGATCATCAAGTCCAGCCCCCTGCCCAAAGGGCAGGAAGTCAGCTGGGGTCATAGGATCCCAGCAAGATAAGCATCCAGTTTCATCTTGAAGGTGTTCAATGAAGGCGCTTGAACCACCTCCGGTGGCAGGCTGTTCCAGACCTTGGGGGCTCGGACAGTAAAGAAATTCTTCCTTATGTCCAGCCTGAAACAATCTTGAAGTAGTTTGTGACCATTCGACCTCGTCATCCCTTGGGGCGCTCTGGTGAGCAAAGGTTCCCCCAGATGCTGGTGGTCACCCCGATAAACTTATAGGTGGCCATCAGATCACCCCTGAGCCTGCACTTTTCCAGGCTAAAGAGCCCCAGGGCTCTCAGCCTGTCATCGTAGGGTCTGCTTCCCTGACCTCTGATCATGCGCGTGGCTCTTCTCTGGACTCTCAAGCTTCTCCACATCCTTTTTGAATTGTGGAGCCCAAAACTGGACACAGTACTCCAGCTGCGGCCTCACTAAGGCCGAGTACAGGGGGAGAATGACGTCCCGGGATTTGCTTGAGAAGCATCTATGGATGCAAGCCAGTGTTTTGGTCAATGCTGCTGACACTATCAGAAGTGGAGGGTGGGTGTGGCAAGCGCAGACCACAGTTCGGTGACCACCAGCAGGTGCTGCAGGCAGCGTTGACAGCAGCCAGAAGTGATCAGTGTCGGCAGCACCTTTTTGCAAGGGGTGCACGTGCACCTATGTGCACCCCCTACACATTGCCCCTGAATAAAGGGAAACTGGGAAACGGACAGAGTGTTAATAGGGAAGCAGCTTCTGAGTGCCAGACCCCCTGTGCCAGATCAAGCTGACACACTCCAGTGTCTGAGGAGAATAAGGAGGACTTAGCTTGGGGAGAATTTATGATGACATGGGACTAAAGTGACAGGTGTAGATGATGGAGTTAATACCAATGCTCCCTTTTTGTCAGAACTGCTGTCTTCCTTGGCACAAATCTCTTACTCCTTATATTTTTGCAATGATCAAATCACCTTGAACAACCAAGCAAAATGGTGGTGACAGACCCTATCTCAGATGGGTCTATTCTCTTGGTGCTGTTGTAATTCTAGCACTTATAATAATAGTTCTCAGCACTATGGAGGTTTTTCTATTATGATGAGTGCTAGAATTACCACCTGGTCAGAGCTGAACTTGGTCTTGAAATGGAAAACAAGACCTAATTTATGTATTTGTTTCTTTGGCAATGGTACTGTTTATTGTTTGCTCTTGTACAGTATAACAGGTGTGCACACACAGGATGCTGGTCTTGGATTGCTGAAAATATAAGAATTAAACCAGTGCAACTGTGGGCATGTTCTCAAATGTTTTGATTGCACAGAAACTTCCTTTTGGTGTCTAAAGTTTATTGGAAGGGAAAAGCAAGCTGTTCCATTGCAAGCCTAGGTTCTGTTTTGCAGTTGCCTGCAGGATTCTAGGGGAAGGTAGAGTCCTTTCCCTTCCAGGGAGATCTGAAGCCTGGACAGGGTGAAGTCAGGGTTGGCTGCTCATTGTGTAAGCCTTCCAGCATGACTTGGCTCATGCTGATTTTAATGGCTGGCCATAGCCTGTATCTGAGGTTTGAACTTCATGGCTGACTACAGTGTTACTGTCCCTACATCCCTTTGTGCCACTTCTCGGGGTGTGCCTCTGATGTAAACAGTGCTATAGGACAGGCCTTCAGCTGGGCTCTCGGAAGTCTGCGATTTTTAAAAGCAACAAGTACAGTGTGAAGATTTCACTGAATGGAGAATGCAACTGCAGAGCTGTCCTTTCCCGCCAAACTCTTATCTGTACAAGATTCTTTGAGCAAAGGTTAACTAGAGAAAGCATCTCATCAGACCAAGTCTCCTGAGATCTTATTAGGAAAGACCTATTGGGAACTAGGGCTGTGCGAAATGGAAGTGTTCCGTTGCGACCAGCATTTCGACAGAACAGCGTTCCATTTCGACTTTTGTTTCGAGTTGAAATGGCTGTTCCGTTGAAACGTTTTGCCGTTTCGACCCTGTCTCAACATTTTGCCCATAGGATATAATGGGGAAAGTAGAAACAGGCTATAAATTTGTCGTTTCTGGCCAGATTTAGATGAAACTTGCGGGAATGGTAGCCCCTTTTGAGGGCATGACGCGTGCCAAGTTTCAAGAAGATACGTACAGGGGGTTCAGAGAAACTGCACCTCTAAATCTTGAAAGCAAAACTCATGTCACGTGCATGTGTTAAGTCACAGCAGGGTCAAAACTGCAGGCTTGCTAGCCCCTGCTGAGGCCACAAAGCTTGCCAATTTTCAAGGAGATAGATGCAGGAGTTTGGGGAAACTACACCTCAAGCTGTGGACAAGCAGAACTCATGACATGGGTGACACTGTGTGTGTTAAGGCACAGCAGGGTGAAAGCTGCAGGCCTGCCAGGCCCTGCTGAGGCCACAAAGCCTGCCAGCTGTCAAGGAGATCAGTGCAGGGGTTCTGGGTTTTGGAGCCCTGCACTTCTGGCCACAGGCAGGCAAAACTCATGACATGGGTGCTTGTGCAACTGTGTCTGTCTTGGGGCAGAGTGGGGGTGGAAACCTCTGCAGGCCTGGCTGCTAGGCCCTGCTGCGGCTGCTAAGCCTGCCAGCTATTGAGGAGATCGGTGCAGAGGGGTTCTGGGACCCTGCACCCCTAGCTGCTCATAGGCAAAACTCGTGACATGGGCGCTTGTGCAACTGCTGCCTCTCATCAGGCAGCAGGACTGAAGATCCCCCATCACTTGTCACCAAGACCTGAGGGTACTAATTGACCACAGTATGAACATGAGCTGGCAGTGCGATGAGGCAGCCAGCAGGGCCAGCAACATGCTGGCATGCATCAACTGATGCATCTCCAGCAAAGCCATTGCAAAGAAGTGATTCTCCTGCTCTGCTTGGCTCTACTCAGCATTTGTGAGACCGCAGCTGGAGTACTGCGTCTAGTTCTGGGCTCCGCACCTTAACAAGGACGTGGTGAAGCTTAAGAGAGTCCAGAGAAGGGCCACTTGTATGATCAGAGACTTGCACGGCAAGCCATATGAGGAAAGGCTGAGGGACCTGGAACTCTTCAGTCTGAAAAAGAGAAGGCTGAGAGGGGACTTGGTAGCAGCTTACTGCTACATCAGAAGTGTGCATCTGGGGCTTGGTGAACAACTGTTCACCAGAGTACCCTTGAGGAAAACTAGGAGTCATGGTCACAAACTCCTGGAAGATCGTTTCAGGCTCATTTCAGGCTCAACCTTAGGAAAAACTACTTCACAACTAGGGTGTCCAGACTGTGACCATTACTCCTGTGACAAGTGATGGGGAATTTTCAGTCCTGCTGCCTGATGAGAGGCAGCAGTTGCACAAGCGCCCAAGTCATGAGTTTTGTCTGCCAGCAGCTAGGGGTGCAGGGCCCCAGAACACCTCTGCACCGATCTCGACAGCTGGCAGGCTTAGCGGCCACAGCAGGGCCTAGCAGCCAGGCCTGCAGTAGTTTCCCATCCACCATACCCCAAGACATACACAGTTGCACAATCCACCCATGACATGAGTTTTGCCTGTCAGCAGCCAGAGGTGCAGGGCCCCAGAAGCCCTGCACCGATCTCCTTGACAGCTGGCAGGCAGGCCTGCAGCTTTCACCCTGCTGCGCCTTAATGCACGCACGTTACGAGTTTTGCTCATCTGCAGCTTGAGGTGCAGTTTCCCCCAAACCCCTACACCTACCTCCTTGAAACTGGGCAGGCTTCGTGGCCTCAGCAGGGGCTAGCATGCCTGCAGTTTTGACCCTGCTGTGACTTAACACATACACATGACACAAGTTTGGCTCTCAAGACTTTGGGGCACAGTTTCTCTGAACCCCCTGTACTTATCTTCTTGAAACTTGGCATGCCTTATGGCCTCAGAGGGTCTACCATTTCTGCAAGTTTTATCCAAATCTGGCCAGAAATGACAAAGTTATAGGCTGTTTCAACCTTCCCCATTATATCCTATGGGCAAAATGTCGAAACGGCGAAATGTTTCATAGTTATTTGGGTCGGAAGGGACCTATTAGATCATTGAGTCTGACTCTGCTTTGGGCAGGAAAGAGCGCTGGG